CTGCTGCTTCAGTGGGAGGAACTGCAAAGTCACTCGGCCAAAGGCCCTAGAAACAGAGAGGGATGAAGAGCTTGAGCCAGTGATGCATGGCACCATAGGGACAGAAAGGAGAAAGCCCGGGTAGAGACTTAAACTTGGCCCTAAGCAAGGGGAACTCACCAGTTTTTTCAGCACGAGGGAGGTCTAAGTTAGAAAGCTGATTCTGCTTACCTACCTAGGCGAAAGATTAGTGTTTACAACCACCTGAATTAGGGTAGTGGCTGTGGGAAAAGGGATAGAAGAGCATATTAAAAGTAGTTATTAAGAGGGCCGGCCAGCAGGTGGCATGGTGGTTAAGGTGCTAGACTCCCATAGGGCCAACTACAGTTTGAGTCCCGGATCTGACAGGTAGAAAATCATGCCAGGTGTATGTGCATGCATGCCCAAAATCACAGGAGGAAAATGAGAGAAGGGATTGCAGCATGGCCAACCCCTCAGGAGGTGATTTCTCACTTTTCCTCTCACTGTCTCTTTCTCTGGCAAGCACACACACCCTATGGCAAAAAACTATAAAAAAAAAAAAAGTTACTAAGTAGCTTTAAGTAGGTCATCATTTGGATGAAGAGTAAGAAAATCTAGGCTAAGTCTCAAATTTCTAAATTAGCATGTGAAGCCACTGCTGGTGCTAATACTGGCCCCTTTCACTGAGCACTTATTTCATGCGGCTACTCCTGCACACACTTCACACATCCCATCCTATTAGATGACATAGTGTTCATAGTTTCCTACCTCAATTTTATAAAATGAGAAAAATGAGGCTTAAAACATTTAAGTAACTTGTCAAGGTTGCACAGCTAGTAATTGACCCAGCTAGGATTGGAATATAAATCACTTTGGCTCCATAATCTGACTTCACAAGCCCTATGGGCTGCCTCAGCCAAACAGGGAACAAGGTTTGGGGAGGAGTGAAGACTTGATTTGGGGTAGGGACGATATCAGTGGCTTTTCTATTCTGGCTCACGTATTATTTTTAAGCGCTGTAATAACATGCCAGGGCACTTATTGATATAAACATCCTTTTGACATTTTAATATACCTAAATTTGAGGGCTGGCTTGGTAGAACAGCAGACAACCTGTTTAAGTGATACCGACCATAGGAAAATCATAGTTTCAGTTCCCTAGTCGACCTGTACACAAGCGGTGGACATGCCGTTATCCTGGCTGGGAATGCTGCCGGTGGATCAGGGCATGATACTCTATCAGCAGTGACTCCCCTCCATATGAAGTAAATAAATGAAACTTTAAAAAGTTCTGAGTGGCGTAATGGTTATGTCGCTGGATTCCCATGTAGTCGACTGTGGTTTGAGTTCCAGACCCAGCAACTTATAACTCACACCAGGCGCGTGTGCATGCGTGCCCAAAATCCTGAGGGGAGAGTGAAGGAGAACGGATTGCAGCATGGCCATTCCCCTTGCAGGGTGAGTTCTTGTGATCTCTATCTCTGTTTCTCTCTGTCTCTCTGGTCAGTGCATGCGCCCTATAGCAAAAATCTCTCTTAAAAAAAAAAAAATTCTGAGGTTTTTTTTTTTTTTTTTTTTTTTTTTTTTTTTTTTGAGAGATTTTGCTATAGGATGTGTGCATTTGCCAGAGAGACAGAAAGCAAGAAATCACCCTGCAGGGGGGATAGCAATGCCACAATCCCTTTTCCTCCACTCTCCCCTTGGAATTTTGGGCACACGCACGCATCCAGCGTGAGTTTTTTAAGCCACTATGTCCAGGACTTGAACCACAATTGACTACGTGGGAGTTCAGTGATGTAACCATTACACCATCTGCTGGTCCCAAGTCTCAATTATTTTCATATTAGATTTTACAGAGAATCACATGCTTCATTCTGACGCCGAGATAGATTCATTTGGCAAGCATTCAGAACCTGTCCTGCCCTGTGTAAAACCCTTCCGAAGTATCTCGCTGTAATCTCCATTTCCTGGCCTTCTAAGAGGCCGAGCAGTGTTCCCTGAGTGTACTCATTACTTCCCACACAGCCTTCAGTGGGTCCTCTGTGTTTCCTGCAGTCCCCAAAGGAATTGCTTGAGAATGGCAGGGAGGAGGAGGAGGACAGCAGCTGGTAATTACAAAGAAAAGAATTGCCCATGGTGGGGATGAGGGGAGGGAAGACTCTGCCCAGGCCCAGCCCCCTTTACCTCCTCTCTTCCAGGCAAACTCTCTTGATTCTTCTCTCCATCCTCAGAGACAGATCCGTCCTCAAAGTTCAACCCATGTCTCCCAGGGTGATTAATTTAGGCCAGATCTTCCCTTGGCATTCCTCCTGGGGCGACTCAAACTCAAGACAGGAACCTCCGCCTGCTCTAGGGTGGAACAGCTCAAAACAGTGAGACCACAGCTCAGCTCACTCTCTTGTTGAATAAAATAAACACTAAAGTACTATTATTACTCTTGGAGTCACTAGCTTGGGGACCATAAGATGTGCTAGTTTTACATCTCTGTATATATAAGATTTAATGTAGGAGGCAGGATGGAAATAAGGTAGATACACGATAGCTCTCTATACATATAAACATTTATACATATTTGCCTCTCAGACTTTCACTTTAAATCTCATTTATGTCACTGCACTATGTTTTTATTTCTCTCTGTTTTATTTAGAAAAGTCAAGGTTTTTAAACTGGGGATTTCAACGCTATGATTTGGATTTCATTCATTTTTGTTTTCTCTTTATGTTTAAGGCTTTTCTATTTGTTAATATTGAATTTGCTTGGGACCAACAGGTGGCATGGTGTTTAGGGTGTGGGCTCTCACATGGCCAACTATCGTTCGAATTCTGGACCTCGTGGCTTCCTGTTCCCTATAGGAAAATTTTAAAAATTATAAAATTAAATAATTGTCTAATAAATTAAATTTTGTGTTTTTTATTATAACAAAGTACACATATACAATATATGTATGAGTATATAAATATATCACACAAAATCTATACATATGTATAAATATATATATATATCCCTTCAGGTTCATTCGTTCATGCTTTTTTTTCTAAAGAATTGTTTTATAGGGGCCAGCAGTTAGTGTAATGGCTATGTTGCTGGACTCCCATGTAGTCGACCGCGGTTGAAGTCCTGGACCCGGGGGCTTAAACTCACGCCGGGCGTGTGTGCGCATGTGCCCAAGATCCCAAGAAACCCAAGAGGAGAATGGAGAAGGGACTGCATCATGGCCACCCCCCCACCCCCCGCCGGGGGTGATTTCTTGCTTTCTGTCTCTCTGCCTCTCTCTGTCTTTCTGGCAAGCGCAAGCGCCCTATAGCAAAACAAAAACAAACAAACAAAAAAAAACTCTCCAAAAAAATTGTTTTATATAGCTTTATTTATTCATTTATTTTATTTTAATTTGACCAGAGAGGGACAGAGTGAGAGAGAGAGAGGGAAAGTGAGAAAGCAAGCTGTCAGGTCCAGGACTTCAACCACAGTTGCCATGTGGGAGTCCAACGCCCTTAACTACCACGCCACCTGCTGGTCCCTCATTTATGCTTTTAACACCAGGCAAGAGGTATGCAGGGGTGGCCTACAGGGTGAAGAGAATGGTGTTTTGTGATGGACAACTTTATGTGCAAACTTGGCTGGACCATGGTGGCCAAATATTTGGTCAAACATATTTGTGTGAAGGTATTTTCTGATTGAGATTAACATTGAAATTGGTGGACTTTGAGCAAGCAGATTGCCCTCCAAATTGTGGGTAAGCCTCATCTAATCCGCTGAAGGCCTTAAAAAAACAAAGACTGACCTTCCCCAGGCTTTTTTTTGAATTCTGCCAGCAGACTTCCTTTGGACTTGGTCTGCAATTCTTCCCTGGGTCTCCAGCCTGCCTGCCTACGCTGCAGAATTCGGACTTACCAAACCTCAATTGTGTGTGCCAATTTCTTAAAATACATCTTTTTCTCTTCACATACAACTGGTCAGTTCTGTTTCTCTGGAGATCCCTGACTAATATTGGGTTGTCAGAAAAGTTGTGATGCATTTTTGCATAGAAAAAATACGTCATGACTTTTCCAACAACCTAATACAAGTATGGAAGTTTTCCCTCTCCACTCTAAGGACATTTCTTCCTCTGGTTCTAAAGTCTCTCTACTCCATCCTAAAACTGTACAGAAAAACAGAAACAAACCTCTGACCCGGGAGAACTCGGTAGATTCACAGTCCAATCACCCTCCCAGCCCTCTTTTTCCTGCCTGAGGACACCCTGGATTCCAAGTGATTCTTCTTGATCTGTTAAACACCGAGGCTTAATACCTAAATGTTCTTGAGCGTAAGTCTTCAACAAACATTGCTATTGTATTTTTTGGCCACTGACACAACAGCATGTCCCAAGCCAGGTCATAGGACACCATCCCCAGGAAGTGCCCTCTCGCAACACTGAGACAGGTTCGTTGAAGGGCAAGTCCCGTAGACCCTTCCTGTCCAGGCCCAGGGCTGGATTCCATCTCTGCTGAGTACACCAGCCTCCCATCTCCTCACAGTCCGGAATGGGCCCTCTTCCTTCTGAGCCAAGCCACAGGCCTTGGCCCCTTCCC